AAGATCTGATATGATCAACCATAACAGCTGTGTACAGATGATCAAAGTGGTTGGCGCTCGAGAGAAGATATGGAGGGTCCGGACAATAACAACCAAATCCAAGACAAGGAATTGGGTGCCTCTAACATAGCCGAATATGTTCCACGAGGGACTCAACTCATCCGTAGAAACAGGGAGAAATCACAACATATGTGACCTCGACCGTTAGGCATCTCCAACCAACGACCCGAATCACCCGCTCCCCGACAAAGGGAAACAAATCGAATGGAAACAAACGACATAATGGTGGAAACTAGCGAGGTCAAATTGTGATCAGGAAAATAATACGCCACTGTTTCGCGGACTCGGGGGCCGGATGTAGACAGAGACTATGGACAGGCGTAACACATCCGAGAAACAAGATGACCAGAGGGGTGAATTGATTCAAGCACAGATATGAGACCAGGAAGGAGAAGCGGATACGTATTGCAAACAAGAGAGTGTGTGAGCAAAGCTGGTTGGGAACGGGGACAACAACCAGTGACCGAACGAAACAGTGAAAGCAGCACATTGACCGAATTACAAAAAAACTCATCNAACTCATCACTGCCCTACCCTCCCTGGCAGATAGAAACAAAAAGTAAAACAAACAGGATCACGGGGTAGGCGGGGGAGGGGCTGATAGGTAATTCTTGATTCATTAGACTAGCAGGGTTTTCTTCGGTAAACAGACGCATGGCAGCAGATTAAAAGTACAAAGGATCGAAAATTAAAATTTCATTTCGGTCTTTTTCTTGCGCTCAAGCTCATCATCACCGACAGTCGAAGCGATGCAAAGAGCAAACCAGTGAACAAGACGGGGATGGTAGCAGTAAACACGAACAGTACGAAATGAATCAACAGGGTCCGTACGAGAACCGGATGCGATCGATGAGAAAACAAAACGAACGGTTCAGATGAGCAGTGCTGACCACCATGGGGGAAATCACATACCAGCAGATGTCCTAATGTGTGCATTCACAAGGTCACGTACAAGCGAGTTTACACACACACACACACACGGAAAACACTCAGCTGGTGTCACGTGACAGGTGAGCTGGGGATGTTTTCGCACAATACAGGAGAGGATGGGCAACTTTAAACTGCTCAGAGAGAAACACAGTCAGCCTTAATTCGGCGTTGTGAATGTGAGTACAACGCACACAGTGAATGAAGAGTAATGATTTGAGACATTGTGCGATACAGAAACGGAGAAAGTGAATGAAACCTTATCGATCCGGCTAATGTGTCCCCCTACATGACCGGTAAAATAGTATTAGGTAAGGAAGGTGAAATTAGGTGTCAGCCGGATGGCAGGAAAAGGACAGAAGGATGGAATAAACGAACGTATCGAGGAAGGAGGGGGAGGTTGAAATGGAGAGAATGGACACATGTGCGCTTGGAAGCGGGGGACAAATGGGTTGAGATGCGTGAGTGAGTGGAACAAATCAGTTTTTGTTTCGGCGTACTTGACGCGAGACTTTATCCAAATTGGTCTTGATGTGATCACGAATTCGCACTCGAGCCTCGGCCGTGTCCACATCCAATCCGATTCGGACTAGGCGAGGATTTTCCAGAATCTCTTGGGTCAGTTGTTGTTCAATGTGAATCCCCAGAACGGACTGACGTTGATTGGACAAATGCAAATCAGTGATCCCGCTCTTCTCGTGTTTTATCGATTCGAACAGACGTACCAGGGTGGGACCTGATTAAAAACAGCAGTCATGGCAGCATTTAATATAACAAAGACATCTGAGACAGGAAGGTGTTTTACAAGAGCGAATTCCCTTGCACAAAAGGCGTAACAGGATGATGATAGAAGGTGGACCATTTCATAGACCTATGAGAGAGAAGGATCAGGATATTTAAACCATTCTTAAGGGGCGTGGGATTCAGGGAGACCGAAAGCAAACGACAGGAATGCGGTCACACGAAGCTTAAGAACATTGGTATGAATGGCAACAAACCCTAAAACGCGGTGGGAAAGTATTCCCAAAGGGAAACGGCATATAAAACACACAGGGATGTAGATCTTATAACTGATGAGGACTATCAACAACAAGTTTTCCGCAAGGGGCGACGGTNACATATTCACACGTTTTTATTTGACACTGGTCATTCCCATTCCACCCGACGATTATGCTTGGTTTAAACGACTGGAAGGCTAAGGAATGGATGTACCCAGAGGAATTTACACAAACAAGTATCTGATCCAGTATGCAACTTCGGACTGATAACACCTTACCTCTAGCGTGCGGATTAGTTATCTAACACTCTCGATAAAGTAGCACAATGGTGAAAGCGCCAATGGTCAAACAGTGTCTGGAAGACAAAGCTCGAAAGAAAAGAAGAAATCGTTTCAAGAGATTTCGCCAACTAATGAGCGCATTTGAGGCCGAACAAAAACATATATAGTGAAAATATGCAGCGTCAGGACCCACCCTCCGTATAATGATGACCTACTTGTTCAAGTGGAGGATACAAATGGTCAAACAAGAACAACTATGCAAACTACGGTGTCCAAACACACAAACACATACAGGGGCAAAGAGACAGTGTCAAAGTTTGTTGTCATTTCAGCGGATATTTGTGTACGCTTTGGCGGTCCGTGCGACGACATATTAAATCTCATATTGAGTCAAAGCACAGTGTGAAACACGTGGGAGACATGAGCTAAAAGTAGCAGCACGCTTTGTTCCTGTACTCTGTCTCGGTTTGTTTAACGGGACTTCTAACAACCCCCTTAAGTAATCAATAGACTGATTGCCTTTTAGCGTCCTCCCACCCACATTCGACCGTATCTTCAATATTCTTGTTCATTCAACCAGTTATTTGCAACCGATTCCTCGGGTTTTTTTTATTCTATACTGCGAAATATCACGACCAGAACGATCACAATCGTACCCGATTGCATCGTGCAATCGGAATAGGCATTGGACTCGTCATGGACTCATCAACAAGGTTGCGATTTCCACCCATCACAAGAACCTATTGTATATTGGAGAACATTTAGGTACCACAGGTTCGAGGATTAGGATAGCAAACAATTTAAGGTCCCTCTCATATTTGTATACACCATCTTACCACACATTTCGCAGCCATCCTTTTTCCATTTCATATGTTGTACTACAGTTTGATTTGACGAGTAAAGCACACTAATCTGGCAACGAATTCTCTCCCATAAATTCGCTTCAGTCTGAGTCAAGTAATAATAATAATACCAACAACACAAGAAACCCTGTCTACACTGACATCAAGCCATGGGACGCCAGTCGAGGACGAAGCGTATCGGTCACAGACTGAGTATCCAGTTCGATAAGTACAAAACCAGTTGTTAAAACACCGGTCATCATTCGACTGTTCGATCCTAACCAAAGTTTATCAAACTGCAACATGAGCAAGCATGCAAAGAACGCAATAGTAGGAAACAGTGCACCAACATGCCTACCGGATAAAACACGGACGAATAACCCATTTTCAACCTGTCAATCGGTTTATTCACTCACATTCCAATTAACTATTGCTGTGGCCTACCACTGACTGATTTGTGTTCATACATGCCTGTAGCCAAATTGATTGATTGATCGATTAACTGTCTGTTTGAATACTGGCTTGACGGCATTTGTATGTAGTACGTGTGAGTCGGTGACGACCTGTCTGCCTGCCTTCCTACACGCTGATCGTTCCTGCTTGTTCCCCGGTTAGTGAACCGGCTACATATTTGCTGTTTACAATAAACTTACTATTTCATTTGTTGTGTGCTCATCTTCCTACTTAATTTGAAACACAACTGTATATTCAGAAACTAGCCCAAATTGAAAAAACATTCGAATTTAACATGTCAAAAGAACGTTTCGGGTAAGAAGCGACTTCTGTGCAATGGTACAATCTTTGAAGCCAGCCGCATTATCGTGACAGAAAAAGGCACAACAGGCACCACTAGGAACAATGTGCCGATCAGTAGAAACGAACAGACAGACCGGGATGAAAAATTTGTCAATGCCAACAGGTTCTGATTCAACAACTGAGCAATAAAGAGTGAGACCGATCGGTTTGAGAGATTTTCATTTTCAGTATGGTTAGGGGCGTGTCCCGGGTTGCATCTGGTCACCTCTCCCTTGCACCTCGCGAAATGCTTCTATCTGGCCAAGCGTCTCAAATAGCTTTTGTCGAGAAAGTCCTACTCACTGCGTTCTCGTGGTGGAGGTGTTATCCCACCGAAGAGAAAGAGATCGAAAAGCCAATATCCGAGTCGATGAACTGTTGGTAGTTTACCTAAGGGAGTTGGATAAATACCGTTTCCAAACCAACCACGCACACCTGGTTAAGAAAGTGGTTACCGGCTCGACTGGATATCGAATTGCATTGGACACCTTGGATGTTTGACCCTGTCCGAAGGGTGAATGATCCGATGAACTGAACAACCGTCCCCAATGGATTGCGGTTTTTGCACACCACCCCGCTACCTTGTGGGTCAGCTTTTGTTAAGCCGAAAGCTCCGGTTGTGAATTCGATTAGAAAATTCACCTGCTTTGGCTTGAGCAACCTAGCAGTATCAGGCCCTCGAGCAAATAATAGACCTTTTTTTAATTAATAAAGATTATTGTACCGTGAGTTGTTTGGCACACAGACTGAACTCAGGCTTGTGGGAAAATATATACACAATATATACAGCAATTTATCAGTAATACATCGTGATTCAGATTGTGCGGTAACAATTTATATTGCGATCAGTTTTATTGAGTCAAAAAGAGGAGGAAGACCACGATCATGAAGCAGCTGTCNNNNATACCCTTGAAAAATAATAGTTTATATCATAAACACCAATTGAAAGCAACTCTTACATGTGTAACCAGCTCAAGGGATGTATTGAATATAAACTGTTCAGAAAACATCCTTCACTAAAACGTGATAGCATCAAGCAAGACAGTATTTTTTCGAGTAGCTGACAGCTGGTGGGAACACGTTACATCATTTTTTTATTACACACATTTGTGGTGAACAGCAGATGGGACGAACCCCATAGTCACGAAGACCTGGTGCTCCATCATGGAAACCGGTAATCTAGGCCCCGGGACTTGGAGTGGTGAACCACATAAAGGCCCCGATAGGTTAGGCGTGGTATTGAACCGGACGACCGCAAAGCTGTCTACCATCAAAGTTGGGTGGCTATGGAGGGGCTCGAACCTTGGACCATAGGGTCAAATGCACTCCAGTGACAGCGACTAAACAATTGCGCCACCACCACCCAATAAAACCGCGGTGCCGAAGAATGAAATGAGAAGAGCAAACTAGTATTCACTGACTGACACAGGCTGATTGTACAGTAGATGATGGAGAGAAGCGCGACTGGGGGTAAACCAATGGATGCAGTGCTCGCTTACCGGTAAGGAAATTCGATTCCAAATTCAACACCTTCAGGGTGGTATTTTTGGACAGCATATCGAAGAAGGGTTCAACCATGGCACTGGTCACAGCCGTCGCGGCCATGTGTAATTCAAGCAACTGATTGTTCTTGGTGAGCGCCTCGCAAAGCCGTTTGATCACCTCCGCGCTCATCGTTTTGATATTGTTCAAGTTGAGTTTTGTCAATTCGGCACTGTTTGCTTCCAGCTGTTTGATACTTTCCTGTAAATATCAGAGCAAAGGGAGAAGCCACGATGGAAGGGGGCCACACAAAGAGACTAGATCACAAAAATGTAGACTACGGTGTTACCGACTGATGGTCCAAGATCAGGTAATTGATGGAGAGCCTCTTTGACTAGAGTGTCTTCCAACAGCACCCCACCCCCAGCCCCGGAACCACCCAAATGATTGTGACACAAATCCGAAGTACGACACAATCGAGACTGTTCAGTACACAAGCGAAAAATCCAGCTCGGAGCACTATTTAGTTCCTTAACAGGCGATGTTTTCAGATGGTGAATGAACGAAGATACATGAAATTCGTTTGGTTTATGATGAATTTAAACGGAACGGGTACAGTGAATTGTAGCCATTAATTTGGACAGGGTCTCCTGTCACTATTCCCGTCTAATTGTGCCATAGATCGAGTAATACGTCACGCTACCGGTGAAATCATCATTTTAAGAAACGATCTTGTAAATCTGCAACCGGTATTTAATCCTATCAAATGTAAAGTTACGGTCCTCGGTGTGGAAGCAAAAACGGTGCAACGGTAGAACGGGTGCGCCACTTCAACTACTCAATCAGACGGTCAAGCTTTGTATGGACTGCGCAAGAAGGGCATTCCTATCACCTCACAAACTCTTGGGATGATGCAGCGAAATAAAATCTCATTCAAACTGAGAAACACCCTTTTGCGGGGACCGCGATGATGCTGAGGCAGATACAAACAAGTCAATGTTACCGATCGCCTGGCGATGTAGCCATCAGCGAAAGCGCACGTGGTTCGGGTGCATCGGCGGGTGCGATGAAGGTCCGCCAACCGTGTCACGCAGATTGCTGAATTGGGGGCGGCACGAGTAGTGTGTGTATGTGCACGCGCAAAAATGCGCGCGCGTGCGTACGTGCCTGTTGGCACATAGGGACCGACAGATTGACTAAATAAACCGGTACAGTTTGTTTCATGCATGTTATTGTGGTCCGGACGTGAACGCACGCTATGATCGATACAAACCGGGTCAATGGACAAATCAATCGACGAAACCCCATCGAGCCAGTCAGCATGCACATAACCGGTAAAACAAGGATATGCATCTGCGACGATGGAAGCATGAAAACGGTGTTCGCGCGGGGCGAAATCAGGAGTTCGACTCCAACTATTCTCAACGTACAAACATTCAGAACGGAACATGAAACATGTGGGGTGAAATAGCTTTGATGAATTCAGTAGATAGGTATCGTTAATGAGTCGAACCAGGCCAGACGGAGCAGCTATACAGCACGACACGTTAATGTTGCATGCCAAGAAGCTGACTCGTCCACAGTTTTAATTCAGTTTTCAGTTTGTACAATGATTAATCATACACTTTTGTGTGGCGGCTTTGGTTGCCGACGTCAAACAAACCGAAGTCAAAACATTAACAGTACTGATTTTTTGCCGACCAGAGGACTTACAAGCTGACTACTACCAGAAGGATTGAAAATTCACACTGATTCCGCATGTTTCAATTGTTTGGCGAAATCTACGGCAGCTGACCAAAAGTGACTAATTTATGCGGAAACTCGATGACCGGAAATCGACCACAGTCAGATGGTTTTTTTCAGTAGACAGTTAAGTAACTAATAACGGTAGCACAACGAGTGTGTCCGAGGTAAATTCGTCAGCACAGAGAATTTGGATCAATAGGCTATGCTGGTTAGGACACGTACATATTGCGCAGGTTCAACAATTGAATACCGCACCATATCATGTTTGCAATTTTCAGTCCAGAGTGAAGATCACGTAGAACGAAACAGAGGACGTGGAGACGAGGTATGGAGGATGGCAGTGAGTGATTATGTACACTACGTACCTCTCATCTAAACGGTTGTTTACTTAGCATACAATGTGAGTTCAGCGGCGAAAGGCAAAGCTCGCTTCACTGCTATTCACTGTTTGATGATGATCATGATGACTTGTTGAGAAACAAACTGGAAGAATGAGTGTTCCGATAAACTACAAAATAAAACAATACGATCCAAATCTTGTGGTAGTTGTTGCGAACATGACGTTCTTCTGGGAACATTTGAAATGAAATGCCGCATTATATCATCCAAGATTTAAACTTTTATTTGCACGTACCTGTGCTTATCGCAATTCTGTTCTGCCATATCTAGCACGTCTACTTATAGCCAAGGACAAAATTTCCATAGAATTGCGCAACCGCTTGCTTCATTGACAAACACCTCATTGCTTTCAGTTTCATTATGTAATGATTTTGTAAATTTGAATCCACAAATATGGTGCAATTGCTGAAAATACACCCATTCGGGTGCATAAAGCTACTACTGACTTGACTTGAAGTGGAACACATCGCAATGCTTGCGAACTGTGAATACCGATTTGGACCGATTTCGATTTTTTTTTAATAAACGTTTTTGGTTCGCCACACTCACGTGCACTTACACATCATTTCGATAACCTAGTCATAGTGTGTCATTTTAACTTGTTGTTTTGTCCAAGTGGAATTCCCTAAGACTTGAAATCATTTACCGTGCACAGTACATAAACACTTCGGTACAGGACACCGTGACTTCTGAACGCCTTGGCAAGTGTGTCATCCTGTTTGGGGAACGTCAGCAGTGCATATATGTCACGCCCAGATTCAGACACGAATGGGCTAGGGTTCACCACTGCAACAATATATAGTTTATCAATGCTAGCTATCTAGCTCAGAGAAGATCAGTATCTAGAGCTGCTCATGTTCCTCAATGTGATTTCTTACACATACTGATAGGGAAAAGATCGTTTTCCCCCATAAAAGGGACTTTCTTTTTTGTTCTCCCTATTTTCCCAATTATTTTTATCA